GACGATGATGATGAATATGGTGACGATAATGAAAGTGATGATGATGGTGATGATGAATAACTATCATTATGATGATGATAATAATAATAAATGATGACAATCAATATCCCTTATTACTATTTTCACTCTACCTTATCAGACAGGGATTTTAGCTTCAATATCATGCTCTCCCATCGCGAATGCATTTGGAAAACTTTCACATTTGCTTTCCTTAGCTTTGCCTGAAACCAAACCAGAAATTGTCTGAATATTTTTCATATATCCTTCAAATTATCTACATGTAYACCTAAAGGCCAGTTTAGACGGTACGATTTTTGCCTACAACTATCAYATACAACAAGCTCGCGCCACCCTACAACTCGAGTTGTAGCGTGTAAATCAAGCATACAACTCACCTACGACAGACACGAGCGTGTTGTATACAATAGTTGTAGGCGAAAATCGTACCGTCTAAACCAGCCTTAAGAGGGGTTTCATAGTAGTCATGTGTGACAGATAAAATAGCAAATATTACCACTGTATTCATTGCTACTCACTAATTGAGACAACAGCTGTGACAGAGAACTTCAGGCAATTCACTACCATCAATGAGAGTAAATGTATGTAAAAGTGCCATTTCGAGCAATTGATTTGATTGGAAGTAGTCTATTGTTCAATTTCGCTTGTAACGACTGTTGTCTTGATTAGCACATAACGACAGGGTTCGTGCTGAGGTAACCATTTAAAATTCAAGAACTATTCAAGGAGTATACAAGGACCTAAAAATGAATTTTCACGGGATATGTTCAGTGAACTATGCAAGGTTTTACACGGTGGTTGCACATAGCCCTCTTTCAGATTTTCCAATCTTTCTGACTAGATCTATTTCAGCAAAAATTCAAGGAGTTTTCAAGGAGTTTCGCTAAAATCATAAAATTCAAGAGCTTTTCAGGTGCCCTTGAAAACGTGAATTAAATTCAAGGAGTTTTCAAGGAGTTTAAGGAGTAGCACGAACCCTGTAACAATGAAAACAGTGTTAAATTGTTGAAATATTGAAAGGAATTCTTAAAACGTACTGTGTGAGGAATGTGATGAAGAGTTGGAAAACCAGGAAAATATACATCAAGTCTGACATCTTCCAACAGCCCTACAACATAATTTTATTAGACTTTCATAATATTTTAATACCTTCAACATGCAAATTGTACTAATTATAATTAAATGCACAATCAAACCAGAACCCCTAGATGAGCGCTTTAGCTCTTGGGGTTTAATGTATTGAACAAATATGTTGAAATAAAACAAACAAAAACAAATAAACCATTTAATAATAAAAACATCTTGTAAATATTAGTTTGTTTGTCATTAAAATAAGATAAAAATTAGCCATTGGAATTAGAATTGAATTTACTTTCACCTTTCTTTAGATCCATAGGTGATGAGACAAGAGTTTCTCTGTCAAAATCTTCACATCTGTGAGCAGAACAAAGTGTATGTTTTATCAAGCTGGTACATGTACACAGTGATATGCTTGATTACAGTATAACAAGTACTGTAGCATTGAATTACATCACAATTTCATTAGTTAATGTAAAAACTAAGTTATATATTAGTGACTTGCCAAAGGCAAGCATAAGCGCAAACTCCAGCACAAGCCAATACAAGAAAATCTTCTAATAATGTATCTTGCACATGCATTGCTTCTCTTCATGATGAGAACATGGAGTTGCATCTGCTTGCGTCGGCTTCTGTTGCTYGTGAGAACCAGACTTTAGGCATTGAAACAAGCAATCAATATATTACAGAATATAGCAATGCCTACAACATCTTATCACACTGCTTACTAGACCACACCACATCAGACTTCATTTCACTATTATATACAGCTATTTCAAAAAAATTGAATACTGAATACTGCATACTAAATAGCGCATTCCAAGACCAAAGGGCATTGTGGGTCTCAGTAATATGAAATAAAAAGTAAATATACAGCAATTAACTCTCTACATGTACAGTAGTTAGTTTATTGTTTCAGATGGAATATACTAAAAATAGAATAAATATTTTTTATTAATCCTACCTTWAAAATGTCACTATGACCCACAATGCACTTTGGTCTCGGAATGAACTGTTCAGTATGCAATATTCAGTATTCAACCTTTTTTTAAACGTAACACACTGGGCACAATTTCATATGTACAGTACCACATAAAATTCAAAACTTACTTGGTATGACAGAGTTGAATATCAGGGAACACCCCAGGAAGGGACGAGTTATATGTGTAACACAAGTCTATGTCATAGGTATATATATGATATGGACCATGAGTATTGCGCTGACGTTCTTCCTTAGTTAACCGTGGGTAGAGTGGTTTGATTGCATCCAGCAACATTTTCTGCATTGAGAGAAATGAAGTTATATAAATGAAAAGAGCTTTGCCTTCGAGAAAACATGAACTTATATTTAAGGAAACTTTTTATCAAACCCTAAAACTCTGGACTGACCTACGTCAGGGCATGGTTACTGTAGCTCACAGATCAAACCCTGAAACAACCTCTGGGCTGATCTAAGTCAGGGCACAGCTACCTCACAGATAGAAACCCCGAAACAACCTCTGGGCTGATCTAAGTCAGGGCATGGCTACCTCACAGATAGAAACCCCGAAACAACCTCTGGGCTGATCTAATTCAGGGCACAGCTAACTCACAGGTCAAACCCTGAAACAACCTCTGGGCTGATCTAAGTCAGGGCACAGCTAACTCACAGATCGAACCCTGAAACAACCTCTGGGCTGATCTAAGTCAGTGCACAGCTAACTCACAGATATAACCCTGAAACAACCTCTGGGCTGATCTAAGTCAGGGCACAGCTAACTCACAGAT